TTTACATTTTCAATCCTTAGATATAAAAGTTGAACATTTTATACATTTTTAACTACAAAATAATTATTAAATTTTAAACTTGATAAATGTTGTCAAAATTCGATCTTTAAATGCTTATAAAAAAAAATTGTGCCTATATATTTTTAATATTTTTCAACTAATATTGTAACAATATATCAGGAGCCTAAAGCCTTGTATTAAATTTTTACACTTTTTGGCCCAACAGATGAAACTTTATTGATATTTATAGAAAACAAAAACCTAAAAAAATTTAAAACTGAAAATGTCCGTAAACAGCCCAAAAAGAGTCAAAATATTTTCAAAATTGTATGGTGTATAGGAAATGCTAATTTAAACATTCAGTGAAATATTCATGTATCTACAGTTATTCAATTTACAAAATATTTAAAACCTTAAAAATACGCCTACGGAAATTGTACTCCCGGGGATAAATCCCCGACTTCCGCCCCCTAGATCCGGCCCTGGCTATAGCATTAGTGCATTAGTGCGGTCAACATTTATAATTCCAAGTACCTATCTAGTTTCCAAAATATATAAAAATGTATTTATTATTTTATTCAAATATTCAAGAAAAATTTGTCATTGATTGTCTGTAGTGAACATTCTTTAATAATATGTGTGATTTTAATTTCTCCTATTGAACCTTTATATCAGCTGCTGTTCTTCTTCAAAATGTATGATTTTAGGTATTTTCAAATCGGTACTTAATATTGCTGCACAATTCATTGATGATTTTTTTGAACATTTCCATCGAATGATACTTTGGCATTTCTTTTTTATATAATACCCGTGTAAAACCAATTTTATCATTTCCTATATTTGGTTTTAGAAGGTCCATGGTTAAACACTCGCGTACAACTTGAAACTAAAATGAAATTGGATACGTATGATATAGGTACTTGTGTATTATGATCAGCCATCAGCGTGTGTGTAATTGCCAAGCTACGTATTCCTTATGTGAATAAATTGTCATGTACTATCTACAGATGAGATGTGTCAACCAAATTTATTTTATAAATAAAATGACAAGTATAGTGGAAATATTGTTTTATTCATATACTGCAAAGGAAGACTTTTTGTCCGGGGACTTTTTTTCCATTTACCATCTTCATCAAACGTATAACAGTTTCCATTATTTTTTAATTTAAATTCATTTTTGATTAATAGGTATTTGTTTAATAGCAGTTTTTAGTTGCACCACGTTCGGATACTTATATGATCCGCCTCTTTTTCTGTATGGAGCAACCGTCCACCACATTACGAAAATAATATTTACATCGACACACCGACAATATTTAAGATATCACGATGTTACAATATAATATATTTTCAATAACTTCTAAACATTTTTATTTTTAGATAAGTATAATTGACAAGTATTTGCCGGTCTCGAACTCTCCTCTGACGAGCCGCCCCGGGTATTATCGGGCACAAAACTGAAAACGGCACTACGTCAACCAACACAATTGCAGTGTTTATTTACATATATACGAATTATTGTACAAAAATGCATTGTGAAACATTAACAATGATGTTGGACCCGAGCGGTCGATTTTCTACGAAACTAGTAACCAACAAACAATAGGAAAATTGGTTGGGTTGGCGTGCGGTGCAGTCTGTTAAATGTTGCGCCGGGTCCGCATACAATAATATAATATTATCATGAATATAAATAGTATACATTATAGTTTATATCATAATATATATTATATTATATATATATATATTTATATATAATATATTATATAATGTATAGTAAATAGTATATATATAGTATTATTAATTATAGTATCTATAAATAATCATAATGATATTGTACACAAACGGTGACCCGTGAGCCGTTTGATTGTTATAGTAACAACCAGACTTGTTATTATCGACGGAAATCAAAACTATATACCTACCAGCACATGATTATGTTTCATAGAGTTGCAATACATTGGCACAATTTTGTGTTATAAGCGTTTAAAGTTCAATTGTTGTCAAAATTTATCAAATTTATAATTTTAATTTATTTTTCGCTCAGAATTGTTTTTCTTGATATTATATCATTGTATTCAAATTTAACACAATCCATTACGTCATATACGATATACCCACCTTTGTTGAAATATGTTTGAATTCGTACTTGAAATATTTCTATACAGCCTGTACACAATGTTGCGATTGAAACTGCTCGTTTCCACCAAAAGTATACCTTTCCCGTTTCCTAACCAAAAATAATTATAACTCATAATGTTAAACGGACATATACCATAAGCAAATATATGGCTGAATCCAATAATCACATAATGCTTTTTTTAACTTTTTGCTACCCTGATTACAGACGAAATAGAAGTCGTACGCACATTGACCATAGTTCCTTTTCGAATCGCCGTACGCCAAAATAACAGCAGAGCGACAACCACTTACCAACCTTCTTAAGGAATACAATGTATTGTAGAAAATATTATAGTATTATAGTGTAATCTAATAAAAGGAACCATGGGACGCCATCTGCCGATTCTTTCATTATTATTCTAGACCATTACATGAAAAAAACAAAAGATATAATGATAATTAAAAACGCAAGATGGCTCACATGAAGAAACTCTCATTAGATGAAAATTCTGAGTTATTATACTATAATCTTAAAAAGAACTTCTTCAATGTGGCGTGAAAAATAATAATAATATAATAGCAAGATACATATAAAACATTTCAAAAACATTAAAACAATACTATTAACATCAAAAAGTCATGTAAATAATAAAAAAAAAAACTGCTCTCGAACGAGAAGTGAATCATACAAAGATATAAGGTACCGCGTTTTAAACAACTCACGATGATATGAGAGTAAGTATTAATTTATTAATAATTGTACTTACTCCTAGTTTAATTCGTAATTACTCAATTTTTGGAAGCCACCAATTTATGATGGCTCATAATAATAATAAAGAAAAGTAATAAATTAAAAACGGCACACCCGCCCGTACCTATTCAGTACGAAAAAATAGTCCCCTGGGCTGTTCGGTCGCATATTACTATGTCCCCGGAAGCTTTGAACAAATTTGAATTATAAACATCATATAGAGAATTTTCCTGGCTTTCCGAATAAATAGGTTTAATGCGTCGCCACCTTCCGGAACTTGGTCGGAAAAATGAAAAACGGCGCATGGGTACCTGCACGCGGTGGTACGAAAAAATAGTCCCCTGGGCTGTTCGGTCGCATATTACTATGTCCCCGGAAGCTTTGAACAAATTTGAATTATAAACATCATATAGAGAATTTTCCTGGCTTTCCGAATATATAGGTTTAATGCGTCGCCACCTTCCGGAACATGGTCGGAAAAATTAAAAACGGCTCACCCGCCCGTACCTATTCAGTACAAAAAAATAGTCCCCTGGGCTGTTCGGTCGCATATTACTATGTCCCCGGAAGCTTTGAACAAATTTGAATTATAAACATCATATAGAGAATTTTCCTGGCTTTCCGAATAAATAGGTTTAATGCGTCGCCACCTTCCGGAACTTGGTCGGAAAAATGAAAAACGGCGCATGGGTACCTGCACGCGGTGGTACGAAAAAATAGTCCCCTGGGCTGTTCGGTCGCATATTACTATGTCCCCGGAAGCTTTGAACAAATTTGAATTATAAACATCATATAGAGAATTTTCCTGGCTTTCCGAATATATAGGTTTAATGCGTCGCCACCTTCCGGAACTTGGTCGGAAAAATGAAAAACGGCGCATGGGTACCTGCACGCGGTGGTACGAAAAAATAGTCCCCTGGGCTGTTCGGTCGCATTAATATACGGGCACATAATGATGTAAGTGAATTTCATGGCGCCATCTTGTGGTTGATGGTATTACAAATGTCGGGTGCCTTGAATATAATAAAACGCAACCCGGCATACAAGGCCTGTTATCACTAGTCGTCCGAGAAAATAGTCCCCTAGCTATAGTCCCCCAACTTCACACCCGTTAAGTACCTACCTAATTTATTATAAATTTAAAAAAAAGTATTTAGTTTACATATAAATATTTTTTTTCAGATACCTGGTAGAAGTATAACAGTTATAAAATAGGTACCTACTTGATTGAATCAAATTAAAATATAAAAACTATCTTAAGTTCACATAAACTAGATTGTTACTCTTTTTGTTAATAGGTTAATTCCGACTTAAATAATCATTGTTATATCAAAGATCAAACACTAGCTAATATAATATAATACTACAACCAATGTAATTTGTTTTATTTTATAAATCCAATTAATAGGTAGGTAGCTTGAAACTTTAATTATATTTAGGTATATTTAATTATATTTTCAGTACTTAGCTATTCATATTTAAGTAATCCATGCGTAGGTACCAAATTGTTGTAAAATTAATTATTAGTTAATAATTAGGATAATGAACTGCAGTTAGTATTTTATTTTCTATATTGATTTAAATTTGCTTGTTAAAGAATTTTAACTTATGTAACCTACACCTATCAATACACACATATTTATTGTAAAATAATATAATATTATTGGTCTATGTATAATTTAAGTTTATATATACTTATACATATATATGTGTCAGAATAGAAGTAACTTTTTATTCAGTTTATATAATTATATAGGTCTCATTTAAATAATAATTTAGTAAGAAAAAAATAATATTCAAAATAATTTGACAATAATTTAAATATATGATAATAATAATCAAATAGATACTTTATTTAATTCAAATAGGTAACATAAATATTTCTATAAATTAGAAAAAAAATTCAATGATTATATTATGCATCTCATTATAAAATCAAGACAATGTAAAACTGAACTTCCCTTTATAATACTAATGTATTAGAACAACATTTTTTTAATTTATTTTAAATTTGTATTGAGATTATGAACAATACCTAATAAGAAAAGAAATAGAATCATAAGTGTCACTGTAAATTATAATATGTCTACTTACATTAAATATGGTATTGTATATTATTACAGTTAAAATGATGAAAGTCACAAATAGTAGAGCTAAACGAAGAAAAATACAAAAAGAATTAGATGTCTTAAATTATGAATGGCCTAGAGATAATGCATTTTCAAACCTTTTCCAAGATGTACAAGAGATTATTCCTTCTATGTCTTCTAACCAAATATTACATTCTATTGATTCTAATCTGGCAACACAAATAATTTCCCATGATAGTCATCACTCTTCATATATTTTAAACTCTGAAAAAAATTCTGATGATAGTAACACAAATCCTATTATAACCGATGGGTTTCTTGAGAAAAATAGTGTGATGCCTGTTAATACATTTGAAAAATTAATGGTCCATGATAATTTACCAATACACCTACAACAACAGCATGTACAAGAGTGTCTTGGAAATTGGGCCGTTGATTGCAATATTCCTCAGAATGCAATTAATAAACTCTTATCAATTTTAAAATTTAAAGCACAACTTAATTATTTACCTAAGGATTGCCGAACATTGCTTCATTCTGGATCAAAAAAAGTATTAAATTTAAGGGAAGTAGATCCAAATGGAATATATTTCCATTTTGGTTTAAGGGAAGGTATTCTAAGGTATTCTTCAATAATTGTCTCTCCAAATAATGTTATTAAAATTGCTATTGGAATAGATGGACTTCCACTGACAAAAAGTAGTTCTGCTCAGTTTTGGCCAATTTTGGCCTATATTCTGCCTCATAGAAATCATGTTTTTCCAGTAGGAATATTTTATGGTTCTACAAAGCCAAAAAATAGTAATGATTTTTTAAAAGATTTAGTTGCAGAGGTATTAGAACTAACACATACTGGGATAAACATAAATAATGAAACAAAAGTAGTTGTTATTGAAATTATTTGTTGTGACGCACCGGCTAAAAGTTTTGTGTTGGGAGTAAAAGGGCATGCTGGGTTTCATTCATGCACCAGATGTACTCATGAAGGAGAATACCTCAAACACCGTATTTGTTTCCCATATACTGAAAATGGTAATGAACAAAGAAAACACGAAGATTATATTTCGATGAAAAATGAAGAGCATCATGTTACTAGCATTTCTTGTTTAGCATTAATTCCGAATATTGATATAGTTAGTTTATTTTCAATGGATTACATGCACTAAGTATGTTTAGGAGTTATGCGCAAGTTAATAAATCTCTGGTTAGCTAAAGGGCCAATTGATATTCGTTTACCAAGTTGGAAGATTAAGGAAATTACTACAGCTCTATTACAATTTAAAAAATGTGTGACAAATGATTTTCCACGGAAACCCAGAGGAATTGAAGAAGTTGCTCGATGGAAAGCCACAGAATTTCGTCAATTTCTTTTATATTCTGGACCTGTAATACTAAAAAATATACTATCAAAAGATTGCTATCAACACTTTTTAACTTTGAGTATTTCAATGAGAATTATGTTAAGCCTCGATCATAGTAATTACCTGAATTATGCCAATCAACTTTTACATTATTTCGTCAAACACTTTCAAGAACTTTACGGAAGTCATTTTATTTCACACAACGTACATGGTCTTCTCCATTTAGCTGATGATTACATTAAACATGGTCCACTTGATAATTGTAGCGCATTCCCTTTTGAGAACTACATGAAGAATTTAAAAGGAATGTTGCGAAAACACGAAAAACCGTTACAACAAGTTGTAAAACGATATGAAGAGCAAATAAAGTGTGAACATCTGAAACTTAATGAATTCAAAAACAATACATTTTGTACCAATGAACCAAACTGTTTTTGTTTAACATATGATGGTTACGTGGTTAAAATTACAGATATTATAGGAGGTACAATTGTTGGACAGTATTATACTAATAAAGCAGATTTATTTGTAGCACCATTGAAATCTTCATTATTAAATATATTTACTGTGGATAATCTATCGGACAGTACAAAACAATGGAATAAAGATTTTGTAAACAAAAAACTCATTATTTTTAACTTTGAAAACAAATTAATAGCAATGCCAATAATTCATAATCTATAATAATATAAATAATTAATTGTAAATAAATTTCAATAAATATTATACTAATTTTATTAGTAATAATTGTAAATGTAACTATATAAGGACTTTTTATATTATTGATTTATTTTTTATTTAATCAATCTCAAATTATATATATTATATTATATTATTATGCTTTTAACTAAAATTGTTGACATAATTATTATAACTTTTACAATCTTCTTTAATTTAAAATATGCAAACTAATTTGTACAATTTTCCATTTATATTTGTCTATTATTATATTATATTTATGAACAAATTGTAAATGTAAATGTGAATGTATTTTATTAAAAATGTATGTATAGCGGTTATATTCCTAGGTAAATATTATTTTTTGAAACTTATATTTAATACTTTCATACGTGTATGTATTTTTTAGAAAAATGTGGACTATTGTATGCTTTGAATCTGACAATTCTGTTGACGTAGTACCTGATTTTTGGTACCGTAACGGTTCTTGTTCCTGGCCGAAAAAAACTTTAAATGCCAAGAAATTTATAGATAGACGTATCTCTCCAAATGAAATAGAGTTTGATAATTATAGTGCACGAGCTTTATCTAAAAATATTGGTAAATATTATTATATATAGTATCTACAATATATATTATATTATAGGAATAAAAAATTTTAATTTACTTTTATACTAAAATTTGATGAAATATTGGTTCCAGCAAGTTTCTCTGAAGCTCGTACAAAAGTTTTAAGAGCACAAGAAACATCAGAATTATCATCGGATGACAATGATAAAAATACAAGGAAAACGAGAAGGAAAATATGTTGGTCTCCTAGTTCTGATGAATCTTCATTCAAAAAATCAAAGCTCCCAACTCCTCCTAGCCTGCTTCAATATGATGATGATGACTTAGAAAGTAATTATAATTATTACTATTATTACAATTAATTGTAGATATAGATTTAAAAAAAAAATTAATTATCTTAGTTATATTGGTATTTATCTCATTTAATTTAATTAACACCAAACTCCTTCTTAATTATATCATTATATATTAATATATATTCTACTATTTTGTTTTTATTTTGCAGATATTGAAGTCTTTGATCTAGATATGAATAAACCTGCGATTGGTATACAGACTCAAGAAATATTTTCACAAAGTTCATCTTCTAATCATAGTGAAATAAATGCAGATTATTATGACTCAACTAAAAAAATGAATAAATCAGCTCATCCTACGCTGCAAGTATTGCACACCGGTCAAGTGCTTCATGAATCAACAACACAAGAAACATTTTCCCAAAATCCATCTTCTAATCATAGTGAATTAAATGCAGATTATTATGACTCAACTAATCAAATGAATAAATCAGCTCATTCTACGCCGCAAGTATTGCATACCAGTCATGAATCAACACCACAAAATATTGATTGTTATTTATCTACGATTGACAATACTTCTGATATAAAAAATGAACTTAAGGGTATGTATTTCTAATGAATAACTGTATATAATATTGATACCTTGGTACCTGTATAATGAGATTTTTGTTCTTTGTATAGCTTTCAAACAAATTGTAAACCGGAATCAAGTCACCATAAAATATGAAATAAAAAAAATACAAGAAAGACTTGATTTGATATTCAATATGCAAGAAAAAATATTAGATAAATTAATAAACAATCAAACCATTGATAATACAGAATGTAATTATGTAGAATTCTTAACTCCTATGGAAAGTGATGAAGAGTTGGAGAAAATGGAAGATAAAATGAAATCTGATTTGGCATACAGAAAAACTGTGGTAATTATTAATTATTGCAGATTTAACAATATTAAATAAAAAATTATATAATACAATTTTTACAGGTTACAGAGTTATCAAGATTAATGGGGCAAAATTTGTCAGAAACTGTTCGAAAAATAATGCAAAAATTATTTAGTGATACTTTGCTTACATTCTACTCTTATATAGGGTTTAAGGGGAAAAAACAATTTTCAACTCTACAAACTTGTGCAGTTATATTTGGTAATTCATATTTTATTAATGTATAAATTGTATAAAATGCCTAATTAAGAATTGTCATATTGATTTTAATTGTGACCAATGTATAATTTATTGGCCATTGATATCTTTTAAGGCTCAGTCTTATTGTTTATAAATAATACAAATTAAAGTAAACAAAATTAACCATAATTCTTGTAGGGCAAATATAATAATAATTGGAAAAAAGTAACTTATTAACTCAATTATTACCGATCGGTGATAACATTTTAATCAATAACTTTTTGTGATAATAAAATATAACAGTCATACTTCAATAATAAATAATTTCTACCTATGTAATCTGATTACACTTGTATTATTCATACTAGATATAAATATAAAATATTTTAATATTTAATAATTCACGGAATAATAACTATTTATTATTACATGCTTTTCTTTAACTCTCAATGTTTCATTCATTCATTCATTCATTTCTGTTGTCATCAAATCGTGCCAGTTCAATTTAAGTCACTTCTACATGACCTAGGAGGCTCAAATTTTGTATGGAGGTCTAGGGTCGGTGACAATACATGACAAAATAAAAAAATAAATTAAATACTTAAGACAACAGAGTTTCTTATAATATTCGAATGTAGCGTAAATAAAAAAAATTATGCTTTCAAAAAATCCTTTGTTTCTAATTTATTGTTATCACTAAAAAGTAGAAAATTAAAAAAATTTTTTTTAAAAACATTCTTTTCTTAATACTACTTAATACATGAACGAAAAAGTTGAAAATAAACTTACTTTTAAAACAATTTCTTGAAGGAACTTCAAGGTTATCAAGATATTACTAAAAGTGTTTCTAAAATGTATTTGTTGCAAAATTTTTAAAAATTGTGAATTACAAAAAATGAAAATCATGGGGCGCTTCTGATAACTCCTATGTAAAGTCACCCTATAACTGAATCATTAGATAAACTTTATGATAAATATTTTAAAGATTATTGATCATACTTCCAATTTTGTAAGAGATATTCTTGACTCATAGGAGCCCCATGCATTACGTTTTTTATAATTCACAAGTTTTAAAAATTTTGCAACAAAACATTTTAGAAACACTTTTAGTAATATCTTGATAACCTTGAAGTTTCATTAAGAAATTGTTTAAAAGGTAAGTTTATTTTCTACTTTTTCGTTCATGTATTAAGTAGTAGTATTAAGAAAAGTATGCTTTTAAAAAAATTTTTTTGTTTTTTTTTTATAATATTGCTATTTTATAACTAATACAAGTCATAAAAGTACTTCATAATCTAAATAATAAAAAATTATAATTTGAAACTGTTTTTAGAGTCCATAAGAAGAATGAAAAAATTTACTGACATTACAAATATAGAAATAGAAAAACCTTTGAAGACATGGATGGCACAAGCTTCAGCTCGTCTTAAAAAAATTGAAGAAAAAAAATCTTCATGATTAAGTTATAAGCTTTTTTTGTACACAATATTGTATTTTATGCTTTAACTTTACAAAGGAACAATTTTAATATCTACTCGTAGTTGTAATAATATATTATTTTACAGTTTAAATTAATATAATTTGTTAAAAATTGTTACTTTCATTTTTTTAAATCCTTTTATATCACTAAGAAAATGTCATTATAAAAGTGAGAAAATATTATAATAACCTTTTTTTTATACAATATTGTATTTTATGGCAGTTACTTTATACATACATCTTATATATTATAGGTTTAGTATATTTACAGTTGTATATGAATTAATATAATATTCATTGTTTTTTTTTTAACTTTACAAGGGAATTGAAATATCTAGTTGTAATAATATATTATTTTACAGTTTAAATTGCTATGATTTGTTAAAAATTGCTATTTTAATTTTTGTAATCCTTTTTATCATTAAGAAAATGTCATGTATTATAAAATGTATTAGAATTATAATTTATAAGAATATTAATAACTACCTATGTTTTATTACAAGTAATAGTGTACATTTTATAAAATGTTTTGATTTATATTGATGATATTATATAAAAATAATGAAAATATATTTGTTTTTCTTTATCATAAATGTATAATTAATAGTTATATTTAAATATGTATCAAGGTAACAATATATATATATTTTTTTATGACTACCAAATTGTATCTGAGCTTATAATATTTAATGAGTTATAAAATATGTTGCAAAGATAATATTATACTGTATTATAATATTAAAGTAATAAAATACAATAATAAAATTTCAACACAAATATAATAAATATTTTCAAAACTAATACAACAAATATTTTGAAAATCTATTCATATAATATTTTCAAAACTAGAAGAACTAATATTACAAAAATATATTCAAAATTTCAACTAGAAATAATGTGAAAATATTTTACTACAATATTTTTAAAACAACTAAAAGTAATATTTTGACAATAAATTACTGCAATATTTTAGAAATATAGATATCATATATTTTGAAAATTTTAATTCATTGGTCATTCAAAGATATTGAAAATATTTTGAAAATATTCAAATAGGTATCAACTGAACACCACCTGAAAATGTTGATCAAATATCTATATATTTTGTCAAACAATCACATAATATATTAATAATATTGCAATGCTGTGTGGGTTTAAATGTTGTATAGTCCATCATGTGAAGAAAAAAATGGTTGGCAAGTCAACGTTGCCAATGTAACGTTTGTCATCTGATTCACCCACGGACGCCATTGTTTGACATTTTGCTGCCAGGTGTAATGCATCGGTATGTCGTGGTACAAGTATTGTCGAGCCACCACGTTGAGCGCGAAGAACTGCGTGAGTTTCGTGCGACCAACAGCTTCGTTCTGTAGCCGTAATTCTTCTTGGCCCTTCGGGAAATACACGTTGTGACGACCCTCCGGGTGAACGGGAAGCCTGGAGACCGTGTGACTTTTGTCGTGCAGTTTGTACGAAGACAATCGCCAGACGGCTTCTGGCTGGCTGACGTACCTCGAGTTGACGTACCTAAAAAGGAATATTGAAAAGATTAGTAACAATATATTGGCTGGCTCAATATAAGATGATACCGATTGGTGTTGTATTATTATGATAATTTATGTATTTTTTATTCTGTAGACGCATAGCATTGCATTGCAATATAATAATATATTACAATGTTTAATAATTTTAATTTATTTTGAAGTGAAGCGATTTGAAACGTTTAACCATACTAAGAACTAATTTTTGAATATTGCATGAACACTTACAGTTCTTTACTTTAACATTGAAAAATATAATTGACATGACGAAGAATCCCTACAACCGTTAAATACGGTTAAATAGTTTAATACTATTAACACAGAAAATTCTTCTATGTTAAATAAATCTCTAAAATCATTGCAATATATCTAATTTAAAATTTAAAAAAAAAACCTGTTATGGTAGAGATACATTTGAAGTACTTTTGGATATTTTGATTCTAATTGTAATTACTAATTGTTAGTTTTATGTCATATATATTATATATAATAATTAATAATGTAACAAATGCGTAGGTGATATTTGGTCGAATCCAAAATGCTTTGTCTTTGTGGATACACAATGTTTATGGCGTGAACCAATGGCAATGGAAGAAGCAATTTTAATTATGTTCATGTCATTTTTTGAATTCAACATTCAATACCCTAAGGAATTTACTGGTATTTTGCAGTTTCTGCAAAGGTAATTCTTATATTTTATGACAATTCCCTATACTAAATATTATTTAATTATTTTTAATCAAATGTATTTTACAGTTCTATGTTTAGTATAAACGATGAAGGAAACAAAGTAAAAAAGGTGGGTAAGTGGATGTCGCTCTGCTGTACTGTAGGTTACAAGTGGGTCACTGTATAATGGATGCTATTAAATTTGAATTCAATGATACAATATATCATTGTATAAGAAAAATGATTCTGAGCGAAGACGGTATGTCAGTCTAGGTTTAAGACAAATTATATACATATCTATGGTATTAAAAAAAAAATTGACCTATAATAAATTCCAAATTAATCATATCACATTATCACAATATCCATTAGGTACTTATAACACGTTATACATCAACATCAATAACAAACCCTTATACTATCATAGATATATAATAGTACACTTTAGAAGTTTCAAGTAGGTACCCACGAATAATATTATATAATCACAACAAAATAACTATGGATTTTTAATATGTAATTTCGTCCAAATTTGAACATAAAATGACTAAAAATAAACTGTGATTGTAAATTTTTTAGATTTTTTGGTAAGAGAATTAACTACTTACGTGGAATCTTGTTTTAAATTTTCAATCCTTAGCTATAAAACTGAACATTTTATAATTTATTAATTTTTTTTTTTTTTTTTTTTATTGAACAAACATAATATATTTACAATCTGTATTTACAAGTGATACAATAAGTAAATGGGATGATTTTTGGTAAACAGGAGGGGGAAGTCACCCAGTGGCGGCACCCCGTGAATTTATTAATTACGATGATTAATAATTTTTGAGATTTTGAAAAATTCTGTCAAAATTCGATGTTTAAATGCTTATAAAAAAAAACTGTGCCTATGTATTTTTAATATTTTTCAACTGATATTGTAACAATATATCAGGAGCGTTGTATTACATTTTTACACTTTTTGGCCCAACAGATAAAACTTTATTGATATTCATAGAAAAAAAAACTAAAAAAATTGAAAAATGATAATATCCGTAAACAGCTCAAAAAGAGTCAAAATATTTTCAAAATTGTATCTTGTATAGGAAATGCTAATATAAACATTCAGTGAAATTTTCATGTATCTATAGTTATTCGTTTATGAATAACAACAAAATAAGGAAATAGCTACATGAGAAATCGAGTGAACATCCAATGTTGTAAAAATTTGAATTTCAAACGCTCATAAAAATTTAATTTGACTTTCCGGTAGAGATTTTTTTATTGATAAAGGTAGACAAACTTATGAGTAATCTTGTATTACATTTTCAAATCTTAGATTTAAAAAGAAAAATTTTTGCGAATTCTTAACTCAAAATAATTTGCTAATTTTCGTGATTTTTCCATATTTTGTCAATTTTTGAACTTTAAATGCTTATAAAAAAAACTGTGACCAACGATTTTTAATATTTTTCATCTGCCTTTGAAACAATATACTAGGAGCCTTCTATTAAATTTTCAAGCTTTCGCAACCAACAAATAAAATTTTATTGATATTTCTAGAAAAAAAACTAAAAAAAAATGAAAAATGAAAATGTCCCTAAACAGTTCAAAATAAATCAAAATATTTTGAAAATGTTATCGTGTATAGAAAATGCAAATATAAACAACCAGTGAAAATTTCATGTATCTACGGCCATTTGTTCAAAAGTTACACCAAAAACCAAATTCGATTTTGTCAAAAACCGATTTTGCGTAAAAATTCCCGTTTTTTCCTTAATTTTTATGTTGTTTTTCCTGGCGCTTGTGAAAACTATTGGGAATTTTAAAATTTTGACCTCCCCAATGCACCAACGATATTCACTTTCCAATCGAACAAGATACTGAAGTTGAAAATCGAAGCATTATTTCGACTACTTATCGTGTACACAGACACAAAAATAAAAAAATAAAAAAAAAACCCACATCATTGTAAAATCAATACATTCATCGTTTCACTCAGAATCTAAAAGAAAATTTCAGCCGAAAAATTTGTTTCAAAATTACTAAAACTAATGAAAGATTATGACAGTTATGTTAAAAAGTGGACATGTTAATTTTTTTTTTTTTTTAAGATATTTTTTCTGTTATGAAAAGGTTCTACCATAGTATACTTACTTAATGAATATGTGAAAACTGTATAATAAGTAAGCCTGATGACAAATTTTATAATGACGTATAAGATAAGAAATAAGAATAGGAAGGCTCGGCCACCTGACAAGTTTAAGTTAATATTATTATGCAGGTCTCTGGGCCATTGAATTTTTAACCTTCTGGGTATGAGATCGGCAAAGGATAGTTTTTTAATTAATGGATTGGAATGCGAGTGGAGCTTTGAATAGAATTTGTTGTAATGATATCTAGCCATGTTGCTTTGAGGGTTGGTATATTCAGTTCTTGGTGGAGATTTTTGTTTGTTACATACCAAGGGGCAGAAGTTATTAAGCGGAGGCAAATAATTGAAACAATTGCAGGATTTTGGTATTTGAGGGCTTACCGACCCCATTTGATTCCGTAACGTATATCTTACAATCATAATATGGTTATGATTATTTTTTATATTTAAATAATAAATTGGTATTTTAGTATTTTTTAAGTGTATATTAACAGGTAATCCTTATTGCATATATTACATAATTTCTACCTACATATAATAGTAAGTAGGTGAGTAAATTTAAAGAATTTAAGTTTATAAACATTTAAAATTTGAATGTAGTAAATTTCAACATGATAAATTACCAGGAA